TGGGGGAGAGGCCTTGTATTTCATTTAAGGATATTTTTTATCTAATATACCTTGAAGCTTATTTTCAAACTTCAGTAACTCAGTAACGCTGACATTTTTCCTTCACCATTAAAAAAAAAAGATTGGGCCATAGCATACAAGTGCTTGAGAATTTGTTCTGGCTTTTTTTTTTTTTTAAAGCTCGGTTTTAAGTAGATAGTCACAAAAAAGAGAAATAAACCAGTAAGCAATATTTTTGAGAACCTGATATGACCTTCAAGTCCTTTAAAACACGTTCCCTTCTCTTTCACAACTGGCTACATTACATAACTCATCATATTGCAATGTTACCACAGAATGTTACCTTTCAAGAAAACCACTGTTGATAATTAATCATTCTCAGGAAGGCACGTCTTGTAGAAGAGGAAATGCCATTTTCCCAGAATAATTCTCACACAACTGTATGGGCTGGATGCCATGCTACAAGTCTCTTCACAGGGATACTTACCTTTTCGTTTCCAACTGGTTTGGCCACAAACGTAGAGAAAGCTGCACTGACAAGTTTCTCAACACCAGTGAGCATGTCCTGCACCGTGACCTTGATACTGATCTAAAACCAAAACCAAAACAAGTAAATAAACTTCCAGTCCACCCGATAACAAGTCAGATTGCAGCAGCCAAAGTTCAGTTATTTCCTTTCTCGCTCTTTCAATTTAAAAGGTGAAAAGAGCATTTTTAAAGGAAGACTTTCCTTTCAATGGTGTTCTATAAAATTGAACAAATCACTATTTTTCTGACTAAAGAAAATGTACTTACTATACAAATTTGAAATTGCCTATACATAAATAGATGTCAGTGAGCTTGTTTTGGGGATTATACAAATAGTCAAATGATAAAAATGGCATCAAACTATTCAGTAGTCATCCCACCAGCCAGAGATCACCATTATTAGGTAAACATTGAGGTTTAGTTACTAATAATTATAAGGACTAACTAAATTAATTCATCTTTCTAAAATAATATCTACATATTATTATTTTATACATATTATTGCAAGGTGTCATTCAGTCAATTCCAACTCCTCCCACACTGCGTCCAACAGAAGGAAGCATTGCTCTGTCCTGTATCACCCTCACTAATGCTGAAGTCTCTGTGTCCAGCGAATATGGTGTTGTCATTGTTGTTGTTGTGGTCTGCCACATCTATTCCAGTGCACAGCAACTTTACGTACAACAAATGAAACCCCACCAGTCCTAGGGCATTCCCACCATTGCTGTTAGGTTTGAACCTGTTGTTGAAGCTGCTGTGTCAGTCCCTCCTGCTGAGGGTCTTCTTTTCTTTTTTGTATGCTGTCTCTCTGCTTTACCAAGCACGATGATGTCCTTTTCTAGGGACTGGTCTCTCCTGATAGCATCTCTCTATATATAATTATGTAACTCAATTGAATTACGTAATTTTCCCATGAACTTTTACAGCCCAGTCACACACACACACACACACACACACACACACACACACACACACACAGATGTCTCTGCCACAGGTGGATGGCTGCATGCACGGTTATAGCCTCATTAGAGTCTCTTCAAAAACAAAAAGGTCAAATCAACACAGTGACTTCTGAGGGGCATCGACTGGACCAGTTAAACTCAAGGCAGAGAGATCAGCTCATAAGGTTATAGTAACTGATTTTTGTTTTTTTAAAAATTATTCTAAAGGCATAAACTTGATGGATTTTATTGGAGGACCCAGAACAATCACTGGGGCTTATAATGAAGTTGGTTTAAGAAAATGTAAATGGCGTTGATGATAAAAAGGCCAGGGAAGTTGTGTGGAGGATGTTTTTTTTTGCATCACAATGCACCAGGTCATTTTCCCAAATGGCAAGAGCCGTCCTCTAAGAGTTTTGTTGGGAGAGGTTCCCTATTCATCTTACAACCCTGGTCTTGCACCTTCTTCCGTGATTTTGTTCCCCAAATTCAAAACATGTTCAGAGGAACACAATTAGAGTCCCCAGATGATGCCCCTGTTGTGACTTGGTGCGCACTGAAGACGTCTTGAGACGAGAGGAAATGCCACTGTCAGCAGTGTTTATCCCTAAATGGAGGTTAGACCGAGAAACACGAGCTTCACAGTCTGCTATTTTTGTTTAGAGAGGTTTTCTATGATTTTTCAAAATACCTTTTTTACCTACCCTTGTGTGTGTGTGTGTGTGTGTGTGCATAAACAAACAGTTTCAGGATTGCCATTTCTAATCAAGGAACCAGGTGACACCAATGGTTATGTGCTCCACTACTAACCGAGAAGGTGATGGACCAAGTCCACCCAGTACTTCGATCCGTGTCTAATGACCTGGGGGTCTGCTTCCATAAAGATCGCAGGCAAGGAAACTGTGAACTGTATGTGGAAGTTTTCTGTCACCTGGGTCACTATAGGTTGACATCAACTCAATAAGACCTAACAACACTATATTTACACTTTTATATTCTGAATTTTTAAATTGTGGCATTATGTAATGAGCATGTTCTAATTCCATTAGTAGAAAATACTATGTAGAATGTTGTTAGTGCCACTGCATCACTTCTGACTCATCAAGACCTCTGTCCAACAAGAAGAAACACCGCTTGCTGCTGGGCCCCCTCACAGTTCTCGTTATGTCTGAGCCCATTGCCACAGCCGCTGTGTCCATCCATCTCTTTTAGGGTCTTCCTCGTTCTTGTGTGTGTGGCCCTTCTACTTCACTGAGCATGAAGTCCAGGGACTGCTCTTTCCTGATGAAATGTCCAAAAAGCTTGAGAAGGAGTTTCAACAGCCTCATTTCTAAAAAGCATTCTGGAGTACTTATTCCAAGACACATTTGTTTGCTATTTTGGAAGCCCACAATATTTTCAATCTTCTTGACCAACACCATAATTCAAATGCATCACCTTTTCTATGCTCATCCTTATTCATCGTCCAACTCCCACATATATATGAGGTGATTGAAACTATAACCTGACTTGGGTTAGGGGCAATTTAGTCCCCCAAATGTTATCCTGTTCTTCAACACTTAAAGAGTCTTGTGTAGTATGTTTACCCAATGTAATTTGATTACTTGACTGCTGAGTATTGATTGTGGATACAAAAAAGATGAACTGCTTGACAACTTCAATTTTTCTCGCTCTTTATCATGATGCTACCTATTAGTCCAATTGTGAGGACATTTTTCTTTACATTAAGTTGTAATTCATATTGAAGACTATAGTCTTTCATCTTCTTCAGCAAAGAATTCAAATTTACATTAAGTTGTAATTCATATTGAAGACTATAGTCTTTCATCTTCTTCAGCAAATAATTCAAATTCTCCTCACTTTCAGCAAGCAAGCTTGTCCGCCTACATATTAAAGGTTGTTATAGGCCCTCTTCCAAGCCTGAGACCATGCTTCAGTTTCTTGGGATTTGCTCAGCCTGCAGATAGAAAAAAATATGGTGAAAGGATACAACCTGGATACCTACCTTTTCTGATTTTAAATCACACAACATTCCTTTGTTCTGTTCAAAGGGATGCCTCTTGGTCCTTGTACAATTTCCCCATTAGCACAATGAAGTGTTCTGGAATCCCCATTCTACTCAAACACTCTCCACGGCTTATTGTGATCTACACAGTTTAAGGCCTCTTTAAGGTCAATGTAGCACAAGTAAACATTTTTCTGGGATTCTGTGCTTTCAGCCGAGACCCTTCTGACATCAGCAATGAAGACCTTCATGCCATGTAGTCTTCGGAATCCAGCTTGAATTTCTGGCAGCGCTCTGTCAATGTATCAGTGCTACCAATTTTTAAGTAACTCCAGCAACATTTTGTTACTTACATTCAGTATTGATGATATTGTTCCATAATTCTCACATTATTTGGAGTGCCTTTCTTTGGAACTTGGAAAGATAGAAATCTTCCAAATTTCTTGGTATAAACTAGTGAGTGCTTCTAATGCTGTACCAGCGTTTGGAAACATTTCAATTTCTGGACCCTTGTTTTTTAATAATGCCTTCAATGAAGCTTGTACTTCTCTCAGTATCCTTGGTTCTTGATCATACACTGCCTCTTGACATTGTTGGACACTAGATGCTTCATTTGGGTAATTGGTTCTATGTATTCATTCCATCTTCCTGCATAATTCAATAATTTGACCATAGAATCCTTCAATATTGCAACTTGAGACTTACATTTTTTTTCCTTCATTTCTTTCAGCTTAAGATATGTTGGACATGTTCTTCTCTTTTGATTTTCTAACTCCAGCTCTTTGTACATTTCATTACAATACTCTGCTCTACCTTTTGAAATTTTCCATTCAGCTCTTTTACTTTAGCATTTTCTCTATTAGATAAAAGGAATTTTCAATGAAGCAGTTGTTGGTCTTGCAAAATTCTATCATACCATCACCAACTTCATTCATCTCCATCACCAAGGCTGTAATTTATGACCACTATTCTTTCCTCTTTATCTCCAATTTTTCATTTCAGTTGCCAGTAATTATGAATGCATCTTGATTTAATGCTTGATCAACTTCAGATGGAAGAAGTTGGTAATATTCTTCAGTTTCTTCATCATTGGTTTTATTGGTGGGGGTGTAAATTTAATACTATTTGTATTATCTGGACTTACTTGTAGGTGTATTGATACTATCTTATCACAGACAGCATTGTTGTTGAAGATAGATCTTGAAATGTTCTTTTTGACAATGAGTGGGACACCATTCCTTTTTTATTTACCATTTCAGGCACAGTAAACAACAAGATTGTGTGAGTCAAAAGAGCCAAAACTAGTCCACTTAAACTCACTAATGCCTAGGATATCAATCTTTGTGCATTCTATTTCATTTTTGATTACTTCTAATTTTCCTGGTTTCATACCATGTATATTTACAGATGTTTTAATAGATGTTTATGAATAGATGTTTGCAGCTGTTTCTTCTGTTTTGTGTGGCAAATAAAGCTCCAACAACTTCCCTCCATCTAAATCATTGAGGTGGCTCTGAGGAGGCAGCTCTTTCGCATTGTGTTTTTGAGTGCCTTCCAACCTGAGTGATTCTTCTGGGACTATATCCAACAAAGTTCTGCTGCTACTTATAAGATATTTGGTGGCTAATTTCTCAGAATGGATTGCCTATTCTTTTTTCCTAACCTGTCCTTTGTCTAAAAGCTCCACTGAAAACTGTTCACTATGGGTTATCCTCCTGGTATTTGAAATACTAGGGGCATAGCTTCCTGAAACACAGCAACATGCAACTCACTACAAACTGACAGTCCAGTGATGGGCCATTTGTACTACAAAATATTAATTCCCTATCGTTCATTAGAGACATGCATCATAACTTTTTGATCCTTTAGTCTATGAGCTTTATAACCAAGCTCATATGCACACAGAATTGCCTTGAGCTATTTTATATGTATCCACAAAAAAACACAAAATACATTATTTTCAAGTATATCTGGAACATTCATCAAGTTAGTCTATATTCTGAGCCATAAAACAAGTGTCAATAAATTTAAAAGAACTGAAACCATACAAATTATGTTTCTGACTACAAAGTAATTGAACTAGAAATCAATAAGAGAAAGTCTCCTGGAAATTCATCAAATATTTGGAAATTAAATTATTTATATCTAGGTAACCACAGCTCAAGAAAGAATTCACAAGGGAAACGAGAAAATATTCTTAATTGAGTGAAAATGAAAATAAAGCATATAAAAATTTGGGGATGCAGGCAATAAAATGCTTTAAAGAAATTTATGACTTTAAATATTCATATTTGAAAATAAGAAAAATTTCAAGTAATTTCCCTAAGCTTTTTTTTAATTATTATTATTTTTTTGCGAGACCCCTCACTCAATTTCCCTAAGCTTTCACCCTAGAATATCAGAAAAAGAAAGTCAATTAAACCACAAACAAAAAGAAGAATAGCAAAAATCAAAAACAGTAAACTAAATGCAAGAACTAAGACAAAAGACAACATATACTGTATTATTCCATTTATATGAAATTCTATAAAAGGCAAGATAAAAATGTGAGATTAAATGTAGACAATGGTTGCACCTGAGGAAGTTGATGGGTTTAGAAATGGGTGTGAGGGAACTTTTTTATGATTATGAAAATGTTGGATGTACAACTGTATAACATCAAAACTCATGAAAATGTTTATTTTTACTTAGAATGGATGGATTTTAGTGACACAGATTATATCTCAGCAACAGTATGTAATGAACTCTTATTGCATCTCCATAAACTATATGCCTCTTATCATTTGGTAAAACTTTCATCACATACCCTTGATTTTTATTATCTGCTATGAAGCAGATTCCAGTTTCTGAGAGCCTCCTGTGTTAAGGGTTGAACTGCTCCATTAGGTTGATTTAGTTGTGATGGGTCACCTCTGTTCTCCACTGCCACTGAATGTATTTGAAAGCCCAGCCTTTGGCTTATAGCTTGGTAGTCAAGGGCCAACTGTTTGCCCCACCCAGGGACCTCTACTGAAGAATTTTACCACAATTCAGAAATCGCAATACAAGATCCAGCAACTCTCTTCCTATTAAGTTAACTTGGAGAGAAGCTCCCAAAGCCCCCGAGAATGTTGTAATCATAACTACAGTAAAGAAAAGAATGTCAAAATACATAAATAAATAAAAGAATGCCAATTGGATGCAGAAGAAAAATAATAAAAACTGACCTTCAGAAAATCAATTACTTACAAAAACTAGTTAACCGTTGGGACTGGTTTCCCTTGGAACGTCAGGACTTGGGGAACATTGAGAGCCAGAGGGGTACTTTTTCTTGGTTGCTGTTGTGTTAGAATAATTGAGAAACATGAAGCCACAACACCATACCTTGCAAAGATTCCTTGAATGTGTACTTGCTGTGTGTTCACTAGACAGTACTGAGATGTGAGGTAGTTAGTTTAGTGTGCCAACCTGGCCAATAAACACATGTGGGATTAACTGAAGGGAGGAGAGATGAATGGCTCGGTAAGCCTCACCTTTCTAGTTGTCAGGTCTCTTGCTTTCTGATGGTTGGACCAGGGTGCAGCTGCCTTAACCAGTTCCCTGCTTCAGCTGGCAAGGCTCACTTCCTGAAAGACATCCCTGAGGAGAAACCACATGGACCTACTCTGATGCAGCTCTGGGTGCTGGAGCAGCCGTGTGGAGACCCTGCCAGTGCTGAGATGTTTACACATACACTGATTTGGCTTTCTTCCTGCAGCCGGCATCATTGGGTATTTTTTATGAGATGAGGAGGACTTTGTGAATTGGTGTTGGACATATGGGTTAATGGGTTAATGTTGGACTTGTGGGCTTAGGCAGCACTGGGTTGGGATGTTTTCTTGATGCGCACTTAACCTTTATATAAAACTCTCTCTTATACGTGAGTTTCTGTGAATTTGGTTCTCTACAGTACCCAGACTAACATAGTATGGTCCCTTAGGAGTGGGGTACTGGAGAAAAAAATCATAAGATGAAGAGTAGATGTTGGTTTGACCTCTCCCTCATGGCAGTTTTTCTTCTTTGTACATTTTAGAACTAGGGTTGGCTGAGAAACACCAGCTTTTTTAACTTATGTGAGCACCATGTGACATTTTAAATTCATGTATTCCAAATATTATTCCAGGTCCACTCCTCTTCCAGTTGTCATTAAGAAATAAATACTACTAATAATAGAAAAAAACAGAGAAACCTCACTGCCATCCAGTCCATTCCAACAGGACAGCCCTGCCCCAGTCGGTTGCTAGGTCTGCCATCTTGTGGGCTAGGAAGCCTCGTCTTTCTCCCGCGGAGCATCTGGTGATTTCAAAGGAAGAGGTTGACGTAATGAAGGGTTCCTCTTACCTCCATGCTTGTGCTGAATGCTCTAGTAACTTTTGCTTTGATGGTTATAACTTGTCCAACTCTAGTGGAAAAAAGCACAAAGAGGATCTCGTTCATTCTAGCGAATGCCAGTTCAGTCATCAAGATGTATTTGACTGCATGTGCCAGAGAGCAATTCCAGCTTATCATGTTCATGTACTGAAAATGCACATTCATAGTAAAAGAAGGCGATAACACCAAGAAACAGATTCTGACTATTGTCAACTACAGAGCTAACGGTGTTAAACATTAGTTCACTATCTCTATTAAAAGAAAAGGTCAGAGTGCAACCTGACTTCCAAATCTTCAATAGATACCTTGACTGAAAAGCAGTATTTCCTTAAGGATAATTCAAACAGATGACCACATTCATCACTTGATAATTGTACTAAAAATTTTGTTAAAGTAGTAAATAACAGAATAACAAAATAAGCAAGCAAAGGGATCAGCCTCCCACGATCTGAGCAGCCCTGATGTAGCTAGATGATCCATTTACTCCATGTCGGCGGGACTCTGCTCGTGGTCCAGAGTTGCTTCTGCTCTGCTCATCCATCTCTGATCCCTTCATCTCAAACAAAGGGCGAGAGATCCCCGCCCGCCCCACCCCCACCCCCAATAAGGGACAGCATTGTTTTTCTCCCTTAACTTAAAAGTTGAGCTATTTATTGTTCTTCTCTTCATTTTTCTGTTTCGGATGGGAAAAGGCCACCTGACCTAACCCGTTTTCTCACTGACATCCTTGATCCCATCCCCTTCCCCTCTCCATTACCGGAGTGCTTTGATAGCGCTTTTCTTTTTTCTACCTTTAATTTTTTCCATTAGATGACTCCATATCACACTGTAAAAATACTGCTTTCAAATCTATTGTATGAATATCTCAAGATTTTCCTCTTCTCTTTCATGTTCAAATTTCTGGGGACGGGATGTATCCTTTTATAATCCATACATTACTGTTACGTGTTGTTGGTAAGTGCCATGACGTCGTTTCCGATGTATAGCAACCATATGTCCAACAGAATAAAACCCTGCCTGGACCTGCACCGTTCTCACGCACTGTTGCAGCCACTGTGTCCGTCGATCCTGCTGAGGGCCTGCCTCGCTTTCTCTGCCCCTGCACTTTACCAAGCAGCTGTCTTTCTCCAGGGACTGGTCTCTCCTCAGAACATGCCCAATGTGTGTGAGGTGAAGTCTCCTTATCCTGGGCCCGAGGAGCATTCTGGTTGTACTTCTTCCAAGACATACTTATTCCTTTGGGGAGACCATGGTACTTTCAATATTCTTCTCCAGCATCATAATTGAAATGCATGGGTTCTTCTTTGGTATTCCTTATTCAGTGTCCAATTTTTACATGCATATTGGCCGTGGCTCAGGCCAGGGCACCTTAGTCCTCAAAGTAACTTTCTGGCTTTTCTACAGTTTAAAGAGGTCCTGTGTTTCAACTAGCTCATTAAAAGGAGTTTATATTTCACGTTAGGCATGCATACATTCCATCATGTGCTATTCTGATCAGCTCATGTGCCTGTGATTCTCACCAGCCCAAGTGAACATTACCCTCAGAAATAGTACCACATTCATCCATACACCCTATAAAGCCTACAGTATTACTTTATGTATAAGCAATAGATGTTTGTGAATCTCCAAAAGAAAGGCATCTGATGTGGCAGGTAACATAGTAGCTTTCTGTACGCCACTTTTCAATGTTTGCCTCTTGGTAGAGGTCCCATGTAAGAGATGAAATAACTCCAGCAAAGACAGCACTGAAAAAGAAATTTACAGACCAATATCCCTCCTACACATAGACACTCACAAGCAAAAAGAAAAATAAAACTCCCCAGCAACATAGCTAATAGAATTCAACAGCATATCACAAAAACCAATATATTGTGACCAAGGGGGATTCATACAAGATATGCCAAGATGGTTCAATATAAGAAAACAAACCAATGTAATTCACCACGTATATAAAGCAAAGGCAAACAGCCATATGGTTATTGTTTCATGACTACCAGATGTGAGAAGGTGAGGAAGGATAAATGTCTCCCTAGGAGGCAGACACACATTTTCTTGGGAGAAGGGGAAGGAATATATAAAAAAACGATGACGGCAAAGGCACCAAGAAGAGCAGAAGAGTTAAAACTCCAGAGGCGAGTGCTATTATACACGCGATCTCATAGCAAGCAGTGAGTGGATGCACACTGCACGTGTAAGCAAAGGTGGCATGGGAAGGAACATGGGAAGACAGCCACAAATGATTATAATATATATATGTATGTATATATTTGACAGAGGATGTTTGTATATTTATATTTATCTAAATATGCCACATGCCATCAAGATGCATTGGTAATTATTGGTAATTGGACTGCTAAAGTTGGAAGCAAAGTAGAAACTATGGCCTTGGTGATAGAGATGAAGCTGGAGATAGCAGGGCAGAATTTTCCCAGGCCAATGACTTCTTCATCACAAATATGATTTTTCAACAACACAAAAGGTGACTAGATATGTGAACTTCTCCAGATGGAATACACAGAAATCAAGTTGACTACATCAGCGGGAAGAGATGATGGAGAAGTTCAATATCAGCAGCTAAAACCAAACCAGGAGCTGACTGTGGGAAAGGCCATTAGTTGTTCATATGCAAGTACAAGTCGAAGCTGAAGAAAACTAAAACAGGTCCACGAGAACCAAAATATGACCTTGAGTACCTCTCACCCGAATTTTTGCCTGGATCATGAGGCAGTCATTCGAGCAGCACAGGGAAAGCTGTGCGGTTTAAAATTAAGACGGGTGAGCCTCAGGGTTGTATCCTCTCACCATAATTACATGACTTAGAATCAAGACAGGTGTGTGTCGGGTTATAACCTCTCACCATAAATATTCGACCTCTGTGCTGAGCAAATAACCCGAGGGGCTGGCTTATATGAAGAAGAATGTGACACCAGGATTGTAAGAAGGCTAATCAGCAACTTGCAATGTGTAGCTAGCACCATTTTGCTTGCTAAAGTGAGCAGGGCTTGAAGCATTTACGAATGAATTTCAAGGATTGTAGCAAATTGTAACATCAGGACAAACAGAGAAAAGATTGAAGTTGCTGAGGATTTTGTCTTGCTTGGACACACAATCAATGCTCTTGGAAACAGTAGTCAAGAGATCAAAGGACACATTACCCTGGGTACATCTGCTGCACAAGTCTTACTACTTTACAGTGTGGAAAAGCAATGGTGTTACTTTGTCGATTAAGGTGCACTTGACTCAGGCCTTGGTATTTTCCACGGCCTCATATCCACGTGAAAGGTAGATATTGAAGAAGGAAAACCGAAGAAGAATCAATGCATTTGTATTATGTTGCTGGCAAAGAATATCTAAAGTACGTGGCCCGCCAAAAGACCACACCGATCTCACTTGGAAGAAGTGCATCCACAGTGCTCCTTTGAGACAGCGCAGGCGAGACTTCGCCTCACATACTGTGGACTTGTTATCAAGAGAGACCAAGAGGACATCGTGCTTGGTAAGGTAAAGGAGCAGAGAAAATGAAGTATGCCCAAACAAGATGGACTGACTCACAAAATGGAATCCACAAACAGTGCCTGTAGCACGGTCTCAAACATCGGAGCAATTGTAAGGATGGCACCAACTGAGCGCGCTTTTTCCCTGTTGTAAACCGAGTTGCTATGAGCAGGAGCCACCTCAATGGCACCTTCCAACATAGTGTATGCTCTCAATATGCCCACAAATATAGGAAAGTAAAACAGGAGACAAATGTTTGAAAATATTTTATCTATAAGAAAATACCTTGAGGGAATTAGTTGCTTGGCTTGGGAGTCCTGGACCATAGTCCCAGGGGAAACCAAGGTCAAGTGGCATAATGTAGTCCCCAAAGACAATTTTCTACATTCTATGTTGGCGAGTAACAAATGAGGTCTTAAAATTTTGTGAACAGCCTTCTACGCTTCAACATTGGGTCTCTCCCCATCAGGAACAAAGATGCAAGAAGGAAATTGAAAACTCATGGAAACAATTTGGCACATGGACTGATGAGTGAACAATGTGCACTTCGGTCTCCATGACTCTTAGTACTGCTGACCACTCGGACAGGGATCTCGTTAGAAGGTCCTGGATTGAATGGGGAAAACGTGGAAGAAAACTTGAAATCATTAAAAAAGGAAAAGAAAAGGACCAAGCTTATTGGTCTCCTGGAGATTAATGGAACCGACCTCATCCTGGTGGCGCAATTGTCAGCCACTCCATAGGTCTCTGGGTAGACGGAGGGTGGACAACAACACCAGCGAGGTCTGCACACCTCAGAATAACTAACCGTTTGAGATGACAAGGGCAGTGTTTGCCCAAGGGCAAAGGCGAGAAGGGTTTTGAAAGAGGACTGGAAACAGCAAGCACGGGGGAGGAAGTGGAACAAGCGGTGCAACCCTGTGGGGACGGGAATCACACACACACACACACACACACACACACACACACGAAACACTGACACAAGCACACAAATGAAACACTGACATACGCACACAATTGAAACTGATACACACACAAATGAAACACTGAAACACACAAATGAAATACTGGTACACAGGCACGCAAACAACACACTGACACACACAGAAATGACACATTCACACACACACACACACACACACACACACAAATGACACACTGATTTGCTCCGGAGACTTGCATCCAATTCACTGTGGAAAGACAAACTAGAAACCACTGACGGTAGGTTTGTACAAAGACGTGTTGTAAGGAGCCTGCAGCCCCCACAAGAAAGGGGCTTATGAAACGTGGCTAACTTGGGTCAGAAACATGCAGTTTTACTGCCCAAGATGGCGTTATTTGAGCCTCAGGAACAATATCAACTTCAGTGAAATGAAGCCCACCAACTACTTTCATTTGCATGGTTCATACTGATATTTTAAAACGAGGAAAGAACGAAGCCTACCTTGGGCTTTCTTGGGCACACTTTAGCCCAGCGCAACAAGCTCATCGATGAGAGATAGTCTATCGTATAAAAGTCCTTCAGATCATGATTGAAGAGGGAAGGAGCAAATCAACACAGAGCAACTTAATAAATACCCAAGGAAATAACAGTTCCAAGCAATGGTCATTGGATATTACATGTCCTGAATAGAATGTACTTTTGCCAAAATATCAAGCTAGGTTGACCCATCCTTTCACAGGAGATACTGGGGAAAGGTGAGCATGTTAAATAAGATTACAATAATGCAAATATTAAAATGTGTTAAGTTCTAGAGTTCAAAAAACATGGTTTGTTTCCTTTTATTAAGTAGATGCCAAAGAGAAGAAAGGGAAAATTATCAATCAAAAGAGATCTGAGAGACAAGCAAACAAACCCCAGTGGATTGGGGCTTCCTTCAAGAAGCCAGCCTTTGGAATTGAGCAAAGGCAAACAACGCACAGGTGTTGTATCAGGGTTTCCGAGAATACTATGGTGACAAAGTCCCTGTGCTTTTCAAGCAGCGTGCATCCTTTAGAAATGTGTGCAGCATCTTTACAGGCGATGCCTGGGGCTGGCTTAGAAAGAACCCAGAGGTGTGGAGGTGTGAGGAGGGAGAGTGCTGAGACAGGATGTCCTTGAATGCATTCCTGTTGTAGTTGGGCAATGGATGCTTCTGGATACATTGTACGATTCCCTTTATTTGATGTATGTTTCAAATGTATCTTGCAATTTCCTACAAAAGGATGTGTTCATGCATCTATGCACTCCCACATAGAACACATTTTTTCCCAATTTGCCATCTGCTCCGAGAAATTAGTGGTTACCCAGCAACCTCATGAGGAAATCCGCCATCATGGAGATACTTGTGATCGTCCATGGCTCTGATGGAGGAAGGAACCATTAGAACCAGCATCTAGAAGGGCTGCTCTAACATGGATGTAATGTTGAGAGCTGCTTCTCACCAAGATCGGGGCTGTTGCCACCTTTGATGCTTACTGAAAATAATCCCTATGATTATTTTTCACTGACTCATGTTGGGTCAAAGTTTATTTATTTTAAATAAAATCACTAACATGAAATGGATAAGCTTGGGGGCCACAGCTACATGTCCCAATGAGCCAAGAGACCCCGGAGAAAGACGCAATGAAGCAGGGCCACGTACCTGGCAACCTCTTCAAATTGTATGTCATCCACTGAGGCTGTAACACAGGAAAGGCCGGCATGCTTTTCAGCTTCAAAAATAGATACAAATATGCTGCGTTAGTAATTACATTGGAATAGTTCCGCCTAAGGGAAAAAGAGTGAAAAAGCTAAATGGATGTGTTTTAGCCCCTCTCATTCATTACAGCACCACTGTGACCACACAAAGGTACCCTGGCAGCACCGTGGTTAAAGTGTACGGCTGCCAATGGAAGGGTTGATGGTTCAAATCCACCAGCTGCTTCACAGGAGAAACTGTGCCAGCCTGCTTCTGTGAACATTTACAGCCCAGGAAGCCTACGTGGCAGCGTGACTCTGTCCTACTGAGCTGAAAAGAGTTGGAATCAACCTACCACAGTAGGTCTGGTTTTGGACAACCATCCATCGTGATGCTCTGGGGCAAAAGAGTTCCTTTGACCTGTAAATGAATGATTCTTCTCTATCGTAAATTCAGTTCCAATATCCACTGTGTTAGACTGATTATCCAGAGATAATCATATACGTCTAAGAACGAGCTTTATATCCAGAAGTAAGTATGAACCCTTGATAAATTATAAATTATTATTGCTCTCATATCTTACACTGTCTTTCGCTGTGTCCCTTCACCCACATTTCTGTTGTTCATCTCCCTTGGTGCGGGGAGGGGTGTTAAACGTCGATCCTCGCAATCGGTTCCCCTTTTCTCCCCCTGCTCCCCCTACCTAAGACCAACATTTTGCTTCTTTTAATTTTAGAGAAAGTTTCATGGGGACAAAATCCAAATACACTATTCCATCATTCCATCATATCAAGAAGTGTTGTACAATGACCACCACAATCAATTTTAGAACATTTTTTTCTTGTGCTCCTTGTTATTAGCTCCCCATTTACCGCTGTCTCCCCAGATGCATCCCAGAGCAACCCTTAATCCAGTTTCTCTCTCTGTCTCTAGATTCACCCATTCTGGATTTCATGTACCAGAAAACACACAACACAAAGTGTCAAACTAGCTAGCAGCAACAAAATGATTAGAGAAAAACTCTATTAAAAACTAGAACTCTAAAATAGGTCGAAGGGTTAGATTTTAAACTAGTTATGCCCATCCTCTTCCCTTTCCCAGTGCTTATTTACTTTGTGGAAGGTTTTGACATGTGCTTCTGCCAGAGTTTTGTTTTTGATCACTAGTTGATTAACTACCAGGCAGCTTTAACTTTTTCAGAAAACTTACCCCCCCATACCCCCCCACCCCACCCCCACCCACCTTGTTTTGGAGACTTTGATTTTATGCCATAGCAACCCTATAAGGTAGCCGAGGGACTTCCTGTGAGAGTTTCCAAGACTAACTCTTAACAGGAGTAGAAAATTCCATCTTTCTCCGTAGGAGCTGGGTAGTGGTTTCGACTGCTGACCTTGAGATTAGGGGCCCCGTACGAAACCACTTCGCCACCAGGGCTCCCTGGGATGTGGTGCCATGAATGGAACAAAGAGAGAGGTAAATAGAGACTCACCCCTACCGTGGATTCCTTTAACTGTAATATGTATTCATTGAAGGTCTCAACTAAAGAGAGCAAGTATTTAACACACTCTTCTCTACTATCTAATTCTGTGGAGAACAGAAAATTCTAGTTTTACAAGCTTCTAGTAACTTACTGTTCTTCTCAACATGCGCATCGCAAGAACCGATTTGCCATAAAACTAGCCACACTGGAACTCTGTGATGACGATGGAAGTGAAAGGGAAAGAATGTGGAACATCAGTCTTAGGAAAGCTCAAGGTGAGCGTTGTGCAGTTCAGTATATTAAACGCCTGTTGTTCAAAACCAAGTCCAATGGGACCCAACAAGACAGAGTAGAACTTCCCCATCGCGTTTCCCAAGCTGTAAATGTTTACTGAAGCCAACTACTACATCTTCTCCCATAGACCACCCACTGCTTTCTGGATAGGAGCCATGGTGGCGCTGTTGTGTCATCGTTGGACTGATAACCATAAGGCCAGTGGTTCAAACCCATCAGAGACTCTTTGGGAGAAAAAGAAGCCTCAGAAACCCTATTCAGGTTCACTATGAGTTGAAATATAATTGATGTCAGAGGGCTTAGTTTTGAGGTTTAATTTCCAGATACTGAGCAGAATCAATCTCCCTCCCTCCCCCCGACTCATTAGGCAGTGGCAGTTTGAGGTATGGTCCCAGTTAATGTCCTTTAAGGGCTTAAGATTGCCAGAGAACAGTTGAACATCAACAAATGTATGCTGTGAAACATTGGCCAAAGAGTACCTAAGAGACATCCATTCCACGAGCGAATGAGTTGTTGACATTGTTACCACGTACTATATATATTAATTATGAGTCATTAATCTCCAATAGTTGAAATACAGTAATCAGTAAAGACAATTTAATTAAATATAGGATATTTATTAAGTTTACACAGCACTATGCTAGATAGCATGAGACAGCAAGAAGAAACACAACCATAACAATAGCTACACTTTATTAAGTGTTCACAATTGGGGAGGCTTGGAGCTAAGGTAGTACTGATGCATGTCAGTTCCCTGGCACTGCTACTCTTATGGCTTTCATCTCAGAAGTGAAGATATTTTGGCTTGGCAAGATGAAATATATTGTTTTGAATGGTGCCTTTGACAACAGAAATATGAACTCTTAAGGGTTAAAAAAAAAAAAAAAAGCAGGGTAAACCAGTCAGAAAATGCTGCCCAGAGATCTTGACTGAAAATGGGCTTCAAAGGTTCAGTAGTCATGCTTTCCACCCTATAGATTTTTCAAGAGTTGTTAAATTAAAAATACCTAAATAAACAAATATCTGAGTACCAATATAGGATCTATACTTTTTTAAAGGTGAAAATATACATAACAAAACAGACATCATCTCATAACGTCTACATATACAATTTGGTGACATTGCTTATGTTGTTCAAGTTATATCCCTATTTTCACTGTAGTTTTCCAAACCATTTTATCCCTCTTGGCAGTTCAAACCCACCAGCTGCTCGGATTATGCTTTATGTTCCCATAAAATATTTATAGCCCCAGAAACCCTATGTAGCATTTCTCTGTGTTAGAGAGTAGATATGAGTCAGAATCAAGTCAATGGTAATGGATGGTTTTGTGTTTGTTTGTTCAAGCATCATTCTTTTATAAGATTATGGAGTTCTAATGGCCTAGGGGTTATGGATTGGGCCGTTAACCACAAGGTTAGCAGTTCTAAACGACCAGCTGCTTTTAGGGAGAAAGGCAGGGCTTTCTACTCCCATAAAGAGTCACATTCTTGGAAACTCATGGGGGCAGTTCTACCCAGTCCTAAAGGGCTGCTATTTGTCAGCATGGACTTGATGGCAGTGAGTTTAGTTTTCTTTATATATGATTATATTTGACTTTTCTCCATATAACTTCATCAGTTGTTGTTGATGGTGTTGGGTCCTGCAGAATAGATTCCAGCCCATAACAAAATCCGGTCCAGGCCCACATCACCCTCACAATTCTTGTTTGCTTCAGCCCAGTCTTGCACCCACTGTGTCAACTCATCTCAGTCAGGGTCTTCCCCTCAGCACTAATTCTCTACTGTACCCAAGAGGATGGCCCTTTCCATGTCTTTTCCCTGATCTGTTCCAAGGAAGGAAATGAAGTCTCACCATCCTCGTGTCTCAGCAGCATTTTGGTTGTATTTCTTCCAAGACAAATCGGTTTGCTCTTTGGGGAGCCTCTGGCATTTCCAGTATTCTTCATCAACACCGTAATTCCAGTGCCTCCATTTTTCTGCTTTATGCATTGTCCAAACACCATGGCTTGGGCCAACTATACCTTAGGTCTCAAAGTGACATCCTTAATTTTCAACACATTAAAGAGGCCTTATGCAGCATCTCTGTCCACTGCAATGCATCATTTGATCACTTGGCTTCTGCTTTCATGAATATTGATTGTAGATCCACGCAAGATGAGATCCTTGACAACTTCAGTCTTTTCTCCTTTTAATATGATGTTACTTATTGGTTCCATTGTGAGGTTTTGATCTTCTTGACATTGAGTTGTAGTCCATAGTGAAGGCTGTAATCCTTGATCTTCATCAGCCAGTGCTTATAGTCCTCACTTTCAGCAAGCAAGGTTGTGTCGTCTGCATATTGCAGGGCGTTAATAAGCCTTCCTCTAATCATAATGCTTTTCCTCTTCACACAGTCCAGCTTCTCAGATTATTCTCTCAGCACATAGATTGAATAAGTATGGTGAAAGGCTACAATCCGAATGCATACCATTCCTGGTTTTACATCATGCAATATCCCCTTGTTCCATTCAAACAATTGTTTGTTGGTCCATGTAAGTATACTAGATGAGCGCAATGAAGTTTTTGGAAATTCCCATTTTTCTCAATGTTACCCATCGTTTGTTATGTTCCACACAGTCTAATGCCTTTCTATAGTCAATAAAATACAAGTAAACATACTTCTGCTATTGTTTACATTCAAATTTCCATGTAGCATCAGCAAGCCACATCTTCCTCTGAATCTGGCTTGAAAATCTAGAAATTCTGTTGTTTGGTAGAACACTCTAGAGAAGCAAAATAAGTGACATGGTATGTGTTGTATATAGACAGAGATTTATATCAAGAAACGGCTTACACAGTTGTAGAAATAGGTTAATTCCAGTCCAGTTCAAGTCAGGTTTCCACGGACTCGTAGAAGCTAATGAACCTGAAGCAGGATGATGGCGCAGAGATAGTGGGGACACAGGCTGGTGGATGCAGAGGTAATATGAACCTGAAGTCAGCTGAATGAGTCGACCATTCTAGTTCACTGACAGCTCCTGGGATGGCAGGTCATGCAACAGGAGATTGAGGAACCAGAAAGGCGATTCAGCCCCAGCAGAAGACAAACCACAAAGAGAATGACACTCTCTTCAGTCCCTCTTCTACAAAAGGTAGTGACCTGATTTACAGTTTGGACTCCTCCCCTATTCTTAACCAGGAGTCTCTAGTTGACCTTATCCGTAACCATCACATCTGTCAATATATTGCTGCACCCATTTTTCAATTAACCTGAATTCAACAGGACAAGCTTATTTTAGTTTATGTTTTTGATGGTCTTTCACACAACATATCAATACTGTTCTAGTGAGGTCCATTCCAACTCATGGCTAGCCCATGTGTTACAGAAGAGAATTTCTCCAAAATGTTTTCTTGACTGAAATCCTTTCAGAAACAAATCACCAGGCCTTTCTTTTCCAGAGATGCTGGGTGAGTTTGACCATCAAGAGCAAGCAACAGCAAATGTCGTCAAGAGCAAGCAACAGCAAATGGAGAAGAAACTGTGAGCCCAGGATATTTTGAAATAGGTAATAGACATGGGGGGAGGAGAGTGACTAAGTGGGGGCTTCAAGCTTCTTGTCCTGAGGGACTGGAAGAAGAGCAGGGTCGCCGCCAGAAATGAGGTTGAATGCCAAAGTGATAGTGTTGATTCGATTTAATCTTCCTTTAAATACTGAGGAGCTATTTTAGAATCTAACAATGCTTTGGGGCCAGGCTGGTGATTATTATTATTTATCATAGTGATGCGGCTCTATAAAAGTGCTGACCAATACAGGGAAAAATGCCAGAAAAATAAAAACAATTTTTATTGTATTACTACTATTGATACAAAGTAAAACATTATGGTGGGACATTTTTCCCCTGTCATAGATTTAGTTACACCTTGGTTAGACAATATCCCTTTCTTAGTTGACATCTCTCGCTCACCATAGAATGCTCACTGTAAGCCTTGTTTCTCAGACCAACTTTATCATAAAGTTTTCTTCCATATTAGACTGATTGTCACTGTGGTAGTTACATAGTCTGTTGTCAATTTGAATGTTAAGAGTGAAGGAGTGGAGTTTAGCCTGTCAATCAGGTCACAGCTTGATGACTTAATTTGCAGGCGCTAAGTAGATCAATAGCTCATCGGAGGTGGGACACACCCTCACTCCCTGGGAGACATTGCAGCTGACACTAGTGCCCTGAGCTGGAGCAACCATGTGGAGACCCCTGCCAGTGCTGAGATGCTTACAATGCCATTGGATCCACAAGACTTCCCACCCACTGGCCTGTGATCTTCCTGCATTTGGCATCATTGCATGTGTTTCGTGAGTCTGAAGAGGACTTTATAGATTGGTATCAGACATATGGGCTAATATTGGACTTATGGACTTGATATGGACTGAGCGGGGATGTTTTCTCAGTGTTCAATTGCTCTTGTATATAAAGCTCTTTATTATACACATATCAGTGTCTATAAATTTTGTTTCACTAGTCCACCCAGACTAACACAGCCACATAACTGTTCATTTCCAGAGAAACTTGAATATCAATTTGATCTTTCTGTGGTTTGAGTTTCCAAAGATTTCCAAAATCTTAGGAAGTTAAGTCAGTCGTGGAGGGGGACTGGTTTCTCCACTGTAGGAGCAGGACAGCAGCCCCGAGCAGGATAACAGTAGCAGTCGCATCCATCAGTATTCACAGAGTGCACGCAGTTGCCTTGGCCATAGGCATCCTTATTACTAGCAACCTCAATTATTTATAAACCTGCTGCTTTCTCCTACAAATAGGTTAATCTTATATTCTTATTTCAATCAGGATGTTATTAGAAACTACTACCCATCCTGGTAAAATTTATTGAGGCAGAAGCTAAATAGACCTATCCACAAACAGAAAGTGAACTAACAGATTGGCATCAGCTATATGACTGATCTTTGCAGGTGGTTAACACACACATGGTATTGGAAATTCCATTACCACTCATTGGAAGAGCAGAGTGTCTAATTATTTGGGCTTACATTTTGTTCTCTGTAGAATGAAGGCATTGTAATACATGATCTTTCAAACCTAGTCCAGCTCGAAGGTTGTATGACAATTTCAAGTTGTACGTTAGCTGAGTTTATAAAGTGCTTTATGTAAAATAAACCATCCTTTCAGAATGAGATTCCAAGACCTGCAGCCATCCATCCATCCATATACCAGGCCATTGATCCATAGACCCGTGGATCAGCCAGCCAGCCATTCTTTTCAGCAGTAGGTTTCTATTTAGCACATACAAGAAGTTGAAGAAGGGGCCCTAGTGGTGCAATCAGTTAAGTGCTTCACTGCTAACTAGGGTGGACAGTTCAAGGTCACCCTATGACTTTGTGGGGGAAAATCGGAACTACTTAGGCATCAACTAAACAAAGGGCATTGTCTAACTAAATCTGTGACAGGTATAACTAAATTGGAACTACCCCTGTGGGGTAGTTCTTCTCTGTCACATGGAGTCGTTATAAGTCAGAATTGACTCAAGGATATCTAACATCAACAGTAACAACATTGACATCCTGTAGGAAAGACAATCAAATTCAAGGAGCAGAGCAAACATTAGCTTACACACTCATTGGCCAGGCAGAAAAGAAAGAGCTGAACAGATGTAACATGCACCATAATTACAGATTGTGTTCAGTGGTATGAAGAAGGAAATCGGAAGCAGCATTGGGATAAAGTGATGTAAATGTAAAAAGGTGCTCAGAGCAGATTTCTCTGAGGAAATGACAGGTCAGGACATGCCACGCAGGGAAAGGACCCAGAGAAGAACGCGAAGGCAGATAGCAAAGTCGTCTGGAGCTTGGCGAGTTCTGGGAAATCTCCGAAGACTTGCTGGAGCTTGTGCTTCAGGAGGGGAGTCTGCCGAACCGCCTGGAGGAGAGACGGTAACGCTGCCTGTGGCAAGTCCACGGCACGTGTGTTGTCTGGGCACCGTGATGGCGTCGTTTTGGTCAATCCTTTAGTGAAGCAATGTGCCAGGTAACCCCAACTCTCTGAAACCCTAACCTAGCTTCATCTCACCATTATTGTCTCCTGATGGAACCTTGGAGAATGAATGAGTCTGCAAGCCCAAGGAGCATCGACGCGAGCAATGGTAAAGAATTTGAATGTTATCCCCACGTGCTGGGAAGGCACAGCAAGGTTTGAACTCAGGGAGTGGCGTGTTCTGATTCACTTCTTAAAGCTCACAGCAGCTCTTCTGCGAGGACAGATCTTAAGTGAGATCAGATAGAGGCTATTTCTCAAAAATACTGTCCCCAATGAGTGGCGCACGGACCTTCCAACCAGATGGTCTTAGGCAGAAACAGAACTTCTACCCCTCTCTAGAGGTATGTCTAAGTCAGCAGGGGTCTCAGGAACCAGAGATGCCCTGGAGGCACAACCGTTTTCACTCGGATCCTGCTGCCGCTGTCTTGGAGTTGGCTCCACCTGGCCACCGCCTGGTCGTCGGAGCCTGTTTCACCATGGTCCGCATGAGTCCACCATGATCCATCCCTGAGGCTACTGTGTCCTGCCTTCCCATCCGGAGGGCTCATCTTCCAAACATTCTCTGTGGTCCTTCGGCTTTCACTGGCTAACCTTAACTCAAGAAGCTTTCCTGAAACCTGTCATCCTGGGTGACCCCGCTAACATTTGAAATGTCAAGCGGCATCGCGGGCAGCGTCCAGGAACATGCAAGCCACCACAGTCCCACAAGCGGACAGATGGGCGATGGCTCACAAGCACACTGAAAGGTCACTTGCCTTTTCTCTCGAGAACATTTCCCGAGACCACACAAGAGCAGGCACTGCTGTGGTGGCTAGCTGCCGCGGATGGGACGCCGAGCAACGCTCCCTCCGCACAGCAGAACCAGAACCCGCCCGACCGCACACCATCCGCACAGTCTTTGCTACGTGGTTGCAGCTGTGGTGTCAGTCCACCTCCTTGAGGGCGTGGTACCCAAACACACGGCATGCAGGAGCAAAGAGGAGGCTTCGGCAGCCGTATAGTTACATGGCACACTAAAGAGATCTGCCCACGTGTCAACCAGTCTCACTCCTCTGATTGCGTTTCTTTTGTTGGGCAAAATAGCTTTTTATCAATGGATTTAGGTTGACACGTAATGAGTTATTTGTGTTCTTTAAAAGGGCATCATTAGTATCTTTTCTATTTTTCAAATATGCTGTCAGTGGAAATAACTAGGATCCTCATCGATGTGGCTGGTGTAAAGGGGTCCTATGCCCAAAGTGTTTGAGAACCACTGCCTTAGACCCGTCTTCGGGCTCCCTCTCTCTCGCTTTGAATTTTAAAAGCTTGACTTGCACATTCCTTGTTTGCTAAGGCCACAGCCATCCACAGGCCCCGCATCTGCTCTAATCACTTTTTATTTAATTTTATTTTTTCTCTTCCAACCTCTTTCTCTGCCCTTCTATGTCTAGTGCCGGGGCCTGGCCTCGGCTCCGGGCTCCTGTCACCCCTGACCCCTGTCCTCCAGCACCCCCA